GGTTTTTTTTTTTTTTTCTTTTTTTTTATTTCAGTTCACAGCTCAGGTCATTATTCTGTTTTCACTCACAGGGAAAACAGAGAAAGTTTGTTTGTTTTTTTTAAAGGAAGTTTCTGACACAAACGTTGACCCGTTTCATTCTGAATGAGCCACAACTGGCTGCTGACTGCAGGAGGCTGTCGAAGGGCCGCACACCACGGGTTTATTTCTACACCAAACAAAAAATGTCAGGTTTTCAGTTAAAATTAAAAAAATAACTCATGTATTTATTTTAGAGAACTCCAAAATCTCCTCTTCTTTCTGACAAAAAAGTCTCTAAAATGTGTAGGTATCATCTGAGCACTGCCCCCTTCAGGTCACTCCGTAGACTTTATTATCTGTTTGATTCTCAGGCCTCTGACAGGGCAGATTTTTTTCTAGGTTTTATTGTCCATTATCTGGGTTTGTGGGTCATCTGGGTACCCGCCCCGCACTTTGAGAACCACTGATCAATGTCACCAAAAACATTTTTTCTGGACAGACACCCTGGGGGTGAGACACTCTATACGCTCAAAATAATTTATTGCGGAATCCAGTTGTGGGCCAGATTGGATGGTTCAGTGGGCTGGATTTGGCCCGTGAGCCGCAGGTTGATGATCACTAGTCCAGAGAAAATAGTTGATTTTTGATGAGGCTGCTGGTCTGTCTCTCTGGACTTGACCTCTGGTCAAAGGGTCAAGAAATGTTGGTGCATATTTTCACTCCCCACTCTGGAAATCAAATGTAAATGATTTCCAACAGGGGGCGCTGACTCTGTGCTTCTTATGTGTAGTGTTAAAATAAGACAAAATGAGTCAAAATCCAAAACCAAAGGTCACCGAGGACCAACTTTGTGTTTTTGGCTCATTTTCCCACAATTCATTTCACATTAACCTCTGTTGACGTCTGATCCTTCTTCAGTTTTGTTTTGTTTTTGGTTTTGTCAGGATGAAGACACAGCGCATGTGGCTGCGAGAGCGCCCCCTGCTGAAAGTCACTCCTCTGTCCTCGTCCTTGAAGACAAGTCAAGAATCGTTCTATCTCTGCGGCGTTTCCTCGGAGACAGCGACACTTTCTGGGTCACGAACGAGAACTTTGGGTTTTGAGTCGACCCCTGGTATGATTTTCATAACCCAATATCCCCCCTTTTTCTTCTCAATTTTCTATTGCACTCTTTGTGATTTGGAGTCAGCTTTTGTCTGCCCCCCCCTCAACCCCCCCCCCCCACCCCACAC